CCTTTGATACTAGGGGAGCGAAGCGGGCCAAACATGTCAGAAGCGACCAGTTCACCAGGCATGCGGGGCGTGCGGTCGCGATCAAAGCCAGCCAGAGCAAGGCGCTTAGCTTTGAAGAGGTTGCAATCGTTGCAGTTGAGGATGGCCTTGACGTCCGAGGTGTCTTCAACTTGCTGCAGCATGGAGCGCAAAACCTCGCGCGGCGGGTGGCCAAGAAGACGATGCATCTGCGAAGCAGACACAACATGGGCATGCTGTTGTTGCTGGTGGTGGTGCTGGTGGTGCAGGTGGTGAGCTGGGAGAAAAGAAAAGAAAAACAAGCCACCACTGGCTGCATCACGTGGTGCAGACCAAGTGACATCAGCATCACTCAACAAAAATGTAGACGAGTCAGACAAGGACACGACAAAACCAGCATCAACAAGGGCAGAAAGCGAGACAATGTTGTGAGAAAAAGAAGGCACATAAAAGCAACGATCAAGAACGATGGGGCGCAAGACACCATCAACATCAGTCACGAGCAAAGACACGGAGCCGACGGCTTGAGCAGCCGTCACGCCGTTGGCAGTCACAATGGTCTCAGAGCTTGGAGCAAGGTCACGAAATAAATCACGATCAACAAAAAAATGAGCAGTGGCACCACTGTCCACCAATGCACGATTGCTGGTGGCCAGATTGGTGGCTGACAAACAAGTCAAGAACAACTCGTGGTGACGATAATGTGTTTGTGCGGGCGAATAATTCACAGCAGGAGCAGCAGGCAAATGGGAAGGAGGAGCAGCAGGTGTAGCGGGCAAATGGGAAGGGGGAGGAAGGGACAAGGTCGCAGTCATGACGGGGGCCGCAAACTGCTTGCCATTGTGCTTCTCGTGCGCGCGCTTCTTGCGGCACTGAGATGCATCGTGGCCATAGATGCGACAAAATTCACAGTTGGCATTGACGCGATCACTCTTTGGGTGGGGCCCGTGGTGTATACCATGGCGACCACGGCCACGACCACGTCCACGACCGCGTCCGCGACCACGTCCACGGCCATGCCCGTGCCCGCGCCCTCCACCATGCTCAACAGCAAAGGCACCCTGTTTAGGTTCGGCGCGGGCACCAGCAGGCGTGAGTTTGTGCAGGTTAGCAGTCACCACCTCAAAGAACTTGCCCAAATCCCAAGACGGTTGATACAGGTTTGCAATCACGTCCCTGAGTTTCGAAGGCAGGCCATCAACCAGTTGGGCGATGACGAGGGTTGCCGAGTAGGCGCCCTCAATGCGAAGGGTGTCGACGGCAGCAGTGATGGAGGAGCGGTAGACAGGAAAGTCGTCGGCCGTGCGGATGCGTTGGTCGCGAAGAGCCTGAGAGGCTTGGGTAATGTCGTGACGAGTGGTCTGGAGGAAGAGGGCGCCCATCTGTTTGAACCAGGCGCCCAAGACGATGCGTTGGCGTGATTTTTCGCGCTGAAACCGAGAGGCAAGGTCACCTCTCAAGCACGGTAAGATCCAGTCAACCATGATGTCGTTGACGTAGATGAGGTAGTCCAGGTCGGAAGAAATGTCGCCATAAATATCCTGGATACCAGCGGCGGTGCAGCCCTCTAGATCGAGGGTGGCCATATGCAGCAAGGGCTCGGCTTGGAGAAGAA